ATCATTCTAATACTGTTATGTTATGTGATAAGGATTACTGTTAAATATTGATTATTTTGTTAATTGTAACAATATTTTATCAGTTCTTTGGTACTGTTTGATGGTTGAAGCGTAAGCTTATCATGACTTATTGCGTATATATGTTTCTCATAAGCTATCGTGATGTATTCAATATTTTGCTTACGTGATATTTCATGATATTTTCGATATGCAACGTGTTCAATATTTTCGCTTACGTATCATGACGTCTTTAATATACAACGTGTTCAATATTTTTGCTTACGTACCATGACGTCTTTAATATACAACGTGTTCAATATTTTTGCTTACGTATCATGACGTCTTTAATATACAACGTGTTCAATATTTTTGCTTACGTACCATGATGTCTTTAATATACAACGTGTTTTGCTTGCGTACCATAACATCTTCATTATACGACGTGTTGAATATTTTCGATTGTAATCATAATGTCCTTATTGTTTTCCGTTTCATATCATGCTTCCGGTGTTCAATATTTCCGTTTTTTTCAATATCTATTAATGATGTATTCCGTATTCTCATAAGCATATCATAATATATTTAATATTTTTATCAATGTATCATAAAATATTTATATTAAAATTTGTAAAGTTATGATTTATTAAATCATTTATAACTCAGAGGAAAATAAACGATGAAGAAAATTTAACATTTTAAGTGGTAATTTTTTACAATATTTTAATCAACAACTGATATATTAATTCGATAAGAGCATACATACTGTCAGCAATTTTTTTGCATTTTAATGATGATAATTCAAAATATTTAAAACCGGAATTTTTATTGATCGGATTAGGCATTAGTGAAACGGAAATAAAAAAGTACGAAATTTTGTCAATTAAATTTGGCAATTATAAATTTAACAATCACAACGCTTTTCCAAAAGTATTTTAAATGAGCCATAAAATGAATTTGCTAAATTTTCATTTATTTATTTTTGCAAAATTCTCGAATAACCAATTTCTAATTATTAGTTGTTAGTTTAAAATATTTCTGTTATCTTTTCTGAAAATTAAAACAAAGAAAAAGATTGTTGCATTATTTTAGAACAAAATCTTTGTAAAGGTATTTTGTTTCTTTTTGAAGTTATCGTTGAAATTTCTAATTTGACAATTTATTAGATAAAAGTAGAATTCGGTGACCTCTGTACTTTTCTGTTCAATATTTATAATTTTTATTAAATTAAAAATTTTTTACTGCCAATCAATTAATTAATGATTAATCTTTCATATGATAAAACAATTGTATGATTTAAATTTTCGTGGTAATTTTTGCCTCTAAAATCAATCAATAATGATCAATGATGATGGTGATATTTAACTAATAATTCTACAGGCTTTTGTGAAATTTTGAATATAAATTAGAAATATTATGGAGCTATTTTCATGGAACTAATTAATTAATGAATAATCTTTCATATGATAAAACAATGTTTGTATACGATTTAAATTTTCGTGTTAATTTTCACTTTCATGATCAATCAATAATGATCAATGATGATGATGATATTTAATTAATAATTCTATAGGTTTTTATAAGAATTTGAATACAAATTAGAAATATCATGGAACTACTTTTCTTGTACGTTTATTCACTTTAAATTTCTCTCTTTATTGAATTTTCAAATTTCTATTTTTTAAAATAAGAAAGTTCGTTTTAAAGAAATTAAAGCAATTTTGTATGCACTTGTTAATGGAAGATAATTTTTGATAGTAAACAAAAGAATTAATCCATTTTTATTGTTTTTTTATTAAATGAAATTAAAAACAAAAGAGGAATGAAAAATTCATTTTTTGATATTAATAGCACCAAAAATTAATACATCAATTAGAAATTGAATTTTTATATTCTTTTAGGTTATTTGATTTCTATAATCCATTCAATTAAAGATCGGTTTGATGATATCAGTCATAAGACTGATTAGTTATAAGAGTCATAAGAGACTAATATGATCGAATCAATCTTTAGTTGAATGGATTTTAGAAATCAAATAACCCAAAATATTTTATATTTATTATTAGTTTAGATTTCTATTAATTACAACAAGTGTTGTTACCGCGATATTTTCGTTCAACGGGAATATTATCGTGACAGACGGTTAAGTAAGTTTATTTGTGGTTTCGAAAAATCCACTGAAATTTGTAGTTATATTATTCCATCACATATATCACTAATTATTTTAGACTAGCTTTGATCGATTAGTTTTTTCTACAGTGAAAATTAAGTTAGCACATCAGAGATCAGAAGATCAATGATAATTGATGTGGTAATTTCTAACGTCAAATGAATATCGTTTTTCATTCTTCTATTTGTTGACTTTTCAGAATCCACCAATGTCATTAATGGGAAACGGAAACGATTTGTTGGATCCGACAGATGGTCAAGGTAACATTATCGTGTATCGCCAACTTCTCAGTGGCAGATAAATTCTAATGATGACCCTTTTGCCATCAACAAGAAGAAAAGAAAAAGTGCTGCAAATTGCATAATGACTTTTAACCTTATCCGACTTATGACATAAAACTTAATGAGATGTCATGTATCGCAAACTGTAACAATAATATAACAATGTAATAACGCGTTATAAAAGCAAGTAACACGTGGTGATTATATAGCATTCAAATGAATGAAAAATTATCCTATCTCAATGAAACAATAATGACGTATAAATTAACTTAAAAAAACGTAACACAAGCGTAATTGATATAATTATAGTAATGAAATGTACTATATTCGCGAATGATAAACATTTATTGTTAAGGAAAATTATTTATTTCTTCAATTCATGGATCACATATGAAAATTGCATTTTATGGTACTTGAAATCACATAGGAAAAACTGCATAACATATTATGGTACTTTGAAATCACATAGGAAAGATTGCATAACATATTATAGTCATAGGAAAAATTGCATAACATATTATGGTACTAATTTCAAATTTAACAAAAAAATTTTGGCAAGAAAATTTTATTCAAATGATGGAATGACATAAAGCGAATCTAATCCAATTATAAAATCTCATCATAAATTTCATCATATAAGTATTTAATCTGAATTGTTTGCTAAAACTTTAGTATAACTTACTCATTCATAATTTACCTTTTAACCGAACTTAATCACTCATAATTTGCCTTTAAACCAAACTTATCCATAATTTACCTTTACACCAAACTTACTCACTTATAACTTACCTTTAGAACAAAAAATGAATGGAAAGAATAAAGATCAAAAATTTTTTCGAATTTTCATTGATGAAATTTAACTTTCTTCATTTTAGAAAAAATTCAATTTTTACCAATAGTAGTAGAAATAATTGTGATGGGCATTGAAGCCGATATATTAGTTGCAACAATGGTGCAAATATCAAAATCACAATAGTTTTCTGCAACATCGATAGAAAGATCAAATTCATAATGGTTTTCTGCAACATCGATACAAATATCAAATTCATAATGGTTTTCTGCAACATCGATACAAATATCAAATTCATAATGGTTTTCTGCAACATCGATAGAAAGATCAAAATCATAATGGTTTTCTGCAACATCGATACAAATATCAAATTCATAATGGTTTTCTGTAACATCGATACAAATATCAAAATCACAATGGTTTTCTGTAACATCGATGCAAATATCAAATTCATAACGATTTTCTGTAACATCGATACAAATATCAAAATCATAATGGTTTTCTGCAACATCGATGCAAATAACAAAATCATAATGATAGTTTTCTATGGTGTCACATTTGAAGGAATTAATTTGATAAAAATAATTTTAAATAATCTAGCATTAAGATTGTTCATTCTTCAAATATCGATATTTTCTTTTGACTGAATTGCTTATTCTTTCGATTAAAAGTAAAGTTGGAAATTTTATAGAAACATTAAAAATTAATAAGAATTAATATAAAATAATTGAAATACACATTTAATATTAAATAAAAAGATTACGATTATTTTGTTATCCGAATATTAATGCTTTTTCATTATTTGTCTTTTTCCAGTCTTTTCTCTATCACTTAATTAATTAAAGAATTAAAATTATAGTAATTACATTAATATTAAAGGCTAATTGCAGTATTTCTATTCTCTCAATTATAAGTAATTGATTTCATATATTGGAAATAATGTAACGATAAAAAAAAACATAATCATCAAATGAATCATTTTCGGTTTTTAGTATCTTTTCACCTACTTTTGCTTCAAAAAACAAAAAAGAAAAACGAAAATCAAAAATCGATTACTAAAAATTAATTATAATATTAATTTGAAAATACAAATTTTTTAATTAAATTCAAATTATTGAAAAAGCAATTTTTCATATTCTTCGAACAAAATTTACATCTATAATCAACACTATAATTATTTTAATACATTATAATTTTATGGAATTCATTCATTGCTTCATTATTAACTTTTATGGTTTGGTGAATACTTTCTTTGTATATTTATCTCTTAAAAAAAATAGATTAATTAATTTAATATTTAATTTTGTAATTTGTTCATGTATTCCTTACAAGAATAGATTAATTAATTTAAAATTTAATTTTGTAATTTGTTTATGTATTCCCTAAAAAATAAACTAATTAGTTTAAAGTTTAATTTTATAATTTGCTTTTGTATGATTAAGAAAAAGTGATCAATAGTAAATAATTGGATTTGGAATTTATGGAAAGCTTTAAAATTCTTGTACAAATTAGAAATCTAAAAAATTTTAAAATTTAAAAATTGAAAATTCAAAAAATTCTTACAACAAAAGCAGCACAAAATTAATTTCATTAAATATCTTTTAAATACAGCATTAAATAAACAAAAGATACACTAATTTTTGATGACATCAAATATTGGAGAGGAATTCAAATATTTAAATTTGGAATTCAAATATTTAAATTTAAATTTTGAATTAATTCTTCAAGATATATACAAGGAAAGATTATATATTAAGGTAGAATGTCACCTGTACGATCAAATGTTTCTTCATCATCTAAAAATTATACAAGTACCACACCCACACATATGGCTTCATTTCGCTGTCCAAAACATCCATGTAAACAGGAAACGCTAGAAAATTATATGTCACGAGTGATGGAATTAATATCCGGAACGAATAGAATTCATACCGTTTTTGAACATCATGAAATTGTTGAGGTACATATTATTTAGAAAATAATCAACTTAAAACAATCGTATGATAGTTAGTTAATAGCATTAATGAATCTAATCCTTAATTGAATCAGCTAAAATAATAGAGAATTTTTTAAAATATGTTCTCAGGTATTGAATAAAATTTAATTTAACTTAATCTAATTTCATGCTGATTAAAATTTAATCAAATTAAAAAATTCAATAGCTTAAGAACTTTAGACTTTATAGATTTTTAAAATATAAATATACTTGTATTATTTTAAACTATTTTCTTCTTTTAATATATAATATTAAAGAAAATTTTTCGTTTCAACATTTTTACAACTTCTAATAAATTCTAGTTCTGGAAGCTTCTGATGTAAAATTTCAAAAAAAAATTTAATTGAAAAATTAAAGTAAATGAAAAATTGAATTATGCTTGATTCTACTAAAAATAAACTTCGTATCCTACTGAAGATTCTACAAAAAATAAAATTCGATTCTACTGAAGATTCTACCAAAAATAAAATTCGATTCTACTAAAAATAAAATTTGATTCTACCAAAAATAAAATTTGATTCTACTAAAAAATTTTGATCAATTATTTCCAAAACGAAATGATAATAATTTGACTGTATGAAATATTTCAACTAAAGACAAATGAATGACTATTATTATATGGTTGTTTTTGGGGAAGCAAATAATAAATTAAAAAATACAAAATTAAAAAATTCAATAATTAATTTATTAATTATTTTATTCTCAATAACTAAATCAATCAATAAGCAAATGCATTTGTTGAATTAGTAGGATTATTTCGTTGTTTCTTTTGTTTTGAAAAAAATTAGTCAAGCATAATTTTCAGATAATTCATGGATGTTTAACTGTTTTTATCGATGAGCCAACATTGTTGCAATTTCCATTACCGAAAAATGGTCTTGCCATAATTGGTGATTTACATGGTGATGCATTTAGCTTTCTGAAAGCGCTCGAATTTTATGGTTTTCCACCCAATATTACCTACCTTTTTCTTGGTAATCCAATCTGTTATTTTTATTGACAGTTTCTTCTTTACATTTAAAAATGCTCTCATAGACGTAAAATTTAAAATTCAAAATTTCCTTTATCCTATTTTCTTTTATTAGCTATTGGCTCAGTGATATATTATTTTAAACATTGTAAAAGAATTTTCTTATTATTACAAATAAATTAATTATAGCGTATTGTTTTTTAATTATTTAAATAATAGAAAATAATAAAATTATGAGAGATTTAATTTTTGTTTCTTTTTTGAATGAATGATTAACAATTTTCCTGTTTGTGACACCTTTAGGTGATTTTCTTGATCGTGGACCAATGCAAAATGAAGTTTTGTTGTTTATTTTTCTGATGAAATTACGTTGGCCAGAATATGTATACTTGTTACGTGGAAATCATGAATTATATGATCTTGCGAAACAAGATTTTAAAAATCAGGTTTTCGCTAATCTACTATATTTTATAGTTTACGTGAGATTAGATAATTTACGTGCAAATTTATCTAAGCATTCTTTCTTTTATTAACTTATTATATTCATTGTTCAAAATCATATACTATACGTAATCTTTTTATTAAACATAACTATTTCTAAGTATTTGATTTTTAATCATATTTAAAAGATATACAATAAAGTGTTAGAGTGTAAAAATTGATGTCCGGAAAATGGAAGGCAAAAAAAATACTGATACAAAACCGGTTTTCAGTGCTTAATAGATTACAACAATTCTTTCACATTTATCTATATCAATCAATTATTCGATTATCTTCCATTAGCAGCAATTGTTTCCGGTTAATCTTAATTTGATATTACTTAAGAAGCTACCAAATTAATTGGAAAGCGAAAATTGACTAATTAATCGATAACTGCATAATCGTCATATTTAATTAGCGGTTTAAAATTATAGAATTCTTTTCTTTCGATAAAATATAATATTTAGAGATAGCAGTATCGATTGATTGATTTGCTAATAGTTATTATATTTAATTTATGAATGTAAATACTAGTAAATATAATCGTCATATTTAATTAATAGTTTCGAATTATAGAATTCTTTTCTTTCGATAAAATATAATATTTAAAGATAGCAGTATCGATTGATTGATTTGCTAATAGTTATTATATTTAATTTATGAATAAAAATACTAGTAATTATAATCATTAAAAATTTTAGATTATTTCCTTATTTGTCATGCGGGTGTATCACAATGGATGACTTGTCGCGCTAATATAGCAAATATCCCGCGACCAACCAATTTGAATAATATGAAAATTTTAGAAGGCTGTATTATTACTGATATACTTTGGTCAGATCCAAAACCAAATCAAAAATTGTTAGTCATTTTCTAACTCAACTTTTTGTTCGTCATATGAATTAATCACTTTTAGCAGTTAATGATAAAATAAAACTCTTTTTTAATATTTCAGGCCATTTGATTTAAGTGAACGCGGTTGCTGTTATAGTTTTAATCGAGAAGCATTACATGCGGTACTTCAAGCATTAAATGTTCATATGTTAATCCGTGGACATCAAATAATTCCGGAAGGTATTCTAGATAATTTCGGTGATGGAAGCTGTATTACTGTTCATACAGCTACACGTGAAAATGTGGGTTGCAATACATGTGAGTATTTGAAATTTTTCGATATGAAATGATTTCGAAATATCATGCGATATCATAAAATTTGAAAAAAGAAGAAAATGAAATGAAATGAAATTTTTGAATTAATTGTTTTACATTATTAATTGATTTAGAAATTAAAGGAAAAAAAACAAAAGAGAATTTATTATATTTTTCTTTTTTATGCTATAATATTTCCACATGATCATTTTGCATTTATCATAGTTTTAAATGCTTAATTAATCATTTTTTATTCTAGCTGGTACAATTAAAATAGTCCTTAAAGATGACGGAAATTTCACCATGGAAAAACGTATAGCTAAGGTAAGAGATACCGTAACGATAGTTACATAGCTGCAATTATGAAATCAGAATTAATAAAATCACTTGTTCTTCTATCACGTATCCGAATTGACGAAATATCCGTTTTATCATACATAAACGTTTACCACTGTTTATCGAACGTAAACGACCGTCCAATATTCGAATTGGACGGTAACGTTTACGTTTGATAAATGAGATATGAACACTTCTACATTATGTAATACATGTAAGCATTTTACAGATAAAATGCAAAGAAGCTATAGTCGAATTACGTGATATAGTTCGTGCATCGTTGCATGAAAGTTTGCATAATAACAGGTTAAGTCGTATTTTTCAAAAATGTCGATGGTGTCGAAAAGCTTTTCCCGAAAATATCACTCGTTGGATACGTAATTCGAGTGTAGCAGAAATAGCCTTTTGGATTTCTCGATATGCCTCTCATTATGCTCAACGTGATGAAATATTTCATGTTTGTTGCATGATATTAAAATCAAGAAAGAAAAATAGCGAAAATTTGAAAAGTTTTGCAAATCTTAAAAAAAAAGAATTATTTTTGGATAAGCTAAAAATCTAATTTGCATAATTAGGCATTTTGAATTCATACAATTTTGATTTCAAAGTATCATACTATTTATTCATATAATAAGCATATATATATTTGCATATTAAATATTAGAATTTGTTATTAGAATGGAATGAATTCCCTCATTTCTTTTATCATTACCCGAAATAGATTATTATATTTTATAAAGTGTACAGCTTATCATATCAGTTGATGTATTATGATAACAGAGAATTAATTTGCCAACACGATAAAAAAAATTGTTATGAATTAACTGATAATTCATTGAAGGAAGCATGGAGAAGTCGATCTGATCGAATGATGATTCTACGAGCTTATCAATTATTCCCAGTATTATACGATGCGGTAGCCTTTAAAGGTGGCACATCAGCAACACCTGCCACCTATCGTGTCATTTTGGCTGAATGGGAGAAAGCATTTCTATTCAAAGTTTTTCGACTTATTTCTCTTTTTTACACTCAATCTATAACTGAAAATATAACCCTAATTTACACTTATCAATTATCAGAAAAAATGTCATCATTTATCAGTTATCAGAAATAACAATTAATTGATTTCTATATCACATCTATTCATTTGTGAAATTTAAAAAGTAAGAAAAATTCATCCTTTATCTTTTTTTACTATCATTGCAGTTATTTATGACAGCTTCCGATTTTGAGTTAACTGAAACGTTAGCAAATGATGTTGATCCAGGCCTTTTGGAAATTCAGCAACATCGACCAAATCCTAATTTTTTAATGCGTGCATCACGGCATGTTAGAAATATATTGCGACATGCTATGGTATGCATAAAATTGATGCATTTAATTAATTAGTATTAAATTAATTGTTTCTTGTATTAAAGATACTGTTTAATGATTTTTTTAATTAACAGCAAATTTGTAACATTTGATAAATTAGTGAAGTCAATAGATATGATAGTGTTGAATTAGAAATACAAGAAGATACCTATATAAAAAATATTATAATTAAATAATCAAAAAACAACTTCGATATTTAAGTAAATTTTTTTAAGTAAATTATCAGTTATGAAATTCGAAAAAAACTATTATATTCTATTGTTTTTCGATGATAAAAATCTTAATTGATTAAGATATTTGAAAATAATTTTACTTGTAATTAGTAGTTTTTAATTTTGGAAAGTTACAAAAACCATAAATCATTGACTTGTTCCTTCTTTTTCCTCATTTTTAATAAGGTTTTCGTGATTTGCCACCATTCAATGATAAAGATGTGCGGGGGGGATATCACGAAGATCACAATTGATTGATTCATAGTTTTTATTATGGCCTTTCTTATCGGGTCTTCGTGATTTGCCACCATTCAAT